ACCACTCCTTCTTGGTGTTGCATTTTCAATGTCGAGCAGTGTATATACACTGCTCGACATTGAAAATTAACATTGAGGAATTAACATTGAGGGCTGACATTGGTGTGATTAACATTGAGGAATTAACATTGAAAATTAACATTGAGGTTGAAAATTAACATTAATTAACATTGAGGAGCTAAAACTTTGAAAGCCAATTTTTTAAAAACTACTCGTGCGATTTTTACAAAACTTGGTAAAGTTTCGCATAATTTGAGTCGTAGAATCGAAATATGGAAAAAAAAAGAAAAAAAAAAAAAAAAAAAACTGGCATGTCATTTTAGAAAAGTCCGATTTGTGTCAAAATACCTATATTAGAACTATGCTATATATAAGTCTAATACATATCGTAAGTCGCACTTTCGAGACATGAAAAATGCATGTTGAATTTCGTCAATCGGCCCAGCAGAATGGGAGATATAGAGCTGTCTTTTTTTTCCTGTGTACCTTATGTGTTCTTTGTACTTGTAAAGTACAAAATTCACAGTGCGGTAGAGACGCCAGAACAGTTATAAAGTCGGTAAGATGGGCCAGAATAAAACTATAAAGCTAAACTTGTGTTTGGTTATTGGTTTGCACATTCTCTTGTACAGAAATTTATGAAATGACAAAGTTTGTTTCTTGCATGTCTATGGTTTCTTGCATGCTCAGAAATGCTCAGCACAACTACTGATCTGAAGAAGAGTTCTGTAAGGTTGTCAAGGTCGGAATCTCACAAAGATAGACCTTGAACTTCAAGAAAAAATCACATGGGGCTAGATCCGAGGAGCGAAGCGGCCATGCAAGTAGAATAAAAACGACTGAATCTTTCTTATGTAAACTGATGGTGCAACAGCCGCTGTACCTATAGACGAATGTTCAGTGGCGCTCAATCCTGCATAAAATGTTACCTGATACAACAACTGCCTCTGCTAGAGTTGTGGAATGACAAAACTAGTCAGCGTATCATAATGCTTTTGCACGTTATTGGTAAAGGAGTGTGATACTGTTAGAGGTTCTAAAAAAAGAATGGTCTCCTTATGAAATCTGCTGTGAAATCACACCAAGCAATCACTTTTGATTAACTCAATGGGATTTCCTGCAATGCACGGAATTGTTCGGATGACAATATTCGAGAACTGTGAGTGTTAACAGTCACATTTATGTGAAAATGGGCCTTATCTTCCAGCAGAATTTTCCACGGCCAAGCAGTGTCAACCTCATCCTGGCAAGAAATGTTGCCACCCGTTTATCATAATTTGATTTGATTCCTGCATGCGGCTTACCTTGTAGGGGTAGAAGAGAAAAACTTGCAGCAAGATTTGCCATACGGTTGTCCCATGGGTCCGTCAATGATTGCAGTCGCGACATTAACGACATGTTTTCGCTCTCTACCAAACCGAATTGCTAATGTTCCAGTTCCTTCAAACTTCTGAATTCTACCTTACAATGGAGCCCACCAGCGGCCGAGCGGTAAAGACGCTGAACACTGGTAGTTCGGTCCGAGGTTCGAATCCCGCGAACGGGCTGGCTGCATGGGCGTTTTCGTGGTTTTCCCCATGTGTAACGTGTATACGATCCAGTTTCCCTTAAAAAGTCCTCCACGAAAGGCATCCCTCCCCCTTAGGCAGATAGCCCTAGTGTGCTTTGCCATAATTAAATACACCAACACCAACACCTACCTTACAATGCATGAATTGAGAGGGCCTTCACTTAGGTTGTTACGACTTCTAAACTCACGAAAAGCGGAGGTTGCGTTCGGTGATGAAGATAAAAAAACTTCACAAGTAACTCGCCTTGAAGTAAAGTTGAGAGACTGAATTAGTGACTTTATCGTTTACGTAATCGAACATTTAAAAAATTTTACCGATGTTTCATGCAAATTTTCAACTGTGTAGACTACAGTGCCACATTTTCCTCTACCGGCAACTTTCGGAACTAACTTTTTTCCCCAAGGAAATTTTTACCCGTGTCGTCAAGAGACAATTGGCGACCTTAAAATTAACTATTCCAGAATTTGTGATCGCGCCCCCTAAATTCCTCTGTACTCCCAAATTAGAGATCTTTCTATGTTACAAAACCTAAAATTAACCAATCACAGATTAGCTGTACTTATGTATCGTACTTAGTATAAATACTCTTGGCAAAACAACTACGTCATTCCCTTCCCTAACTTCTGTTGTGCCTTGTTGTTTAAGATGCTATATCATACCTTTAAAAACCAGTGTACATAAAAATTATTGTATTTAACTATGATTGGATAAATGCCTTGTCTACCAAAAGTGAGCTGATGCGAATTATCATAGAATATAGTTGTGTTTAGAAACGGCCACGTCTGGAAGTTACTGGTTTCTGCATCTATCTATCTACGTACCTAAAATACATATACATAAATACATGCATACAAACACACACACACACACATAATCTTCCTGCTTCAAGTATACAATAGCTGAAGTCATCAAATATTTTATTTCGTTCCACTCCTGCTGGGTAAATTTTAGTCATCAGCTTATGTCAAAAGGGTCATTACATGTTTAAGTTCATCTGCGATCTCAAGAAAATTCCTTAGACTATGACTCACAGCAATTACACCGGCACGGTCAGATTCGTTAATGCAAGTACATAACCTTCTTATATAAAACAGCGTAGTGGAGGAATTGCTCACGCAAGCTGGGCCCTACCATCTATTTTAGAAGAAATACAGTCATGTTCAACGAAGATTTTATCACAAAATTGTTATTGTTTTGCCATATTTTTTCATACGTACAGAAATTTGAATACTTACAATACAAAAATGTATTACAGATCGCTGTATAAATAAATACACATGCATTTAAACTAAAAACCGTAATCAACGCAATTCATTCGCTCGGATTATTTTCTGTCAGACCCAATGAAGACGGAAACAATCTCACTTATTTTCACATAATAAACATTAACAGAAATTAATCAGAAGAAATATAATTAATTTTATATGCAAAACTGGGTAATCCAGTACAGGCAAATTACAGAAGTTCTTAATTTTACATGAATAAATAAGCATGCAAACTCAAACGCTCCCAGATTTTTTTTTTAACCCAAAAAGTCTTTTCTAAGTCTTGAAAGACGATTTTGCATTAACTACGTCTTCCACTGTAAATGTATTGTTTCACTTTTCATTCATGTTGCCATTCGGCAAAAGGTAAGATATGTATCTTATAAATTTAGTCTTTCTGTTGTTAACAAATTAAGCTATCTAAAAGCAGTAGATGCAGTTTTTAAGAATATAATTTTTTATATATATATAAGTACATTACGCTAAATGAATATTCATTCCTACACTCGCTATTTCTCTGGGCCGTATCTGTTGATATTCTCTACTGATAAGACATATTAAATTTTAAAACAGCCCTTTTCGGTGATCGTTAAATCTGAACCCTTTCAGAATTTTCCCTTCAAGTCAGTAAAATTTCTTCGGTGAAAGAAAATTAAATAGTAATTAGTGAATCTTATGCACTGTATTTGGCAACAGTAATTGGTGAATTTAATAAAATTTGGTAAACAATAATTGGTGAATTTATCCGTTACCTAATATCCAGCATGTATGAGAAGTATAATTATGCTCGAAACTTGCTGAAAGATGCGAAAGATATTTCTGAACAAGAGGGTACAGTATCTGATATGGCAAAGAACTCAAGAACTGTTTGGAAACGATCCTGTGTGCAGGGGTCTTTAAAGGAAATTTGTCTTCAAGTTTGAGATGGATTAAACTATGAAAATCCCAAACAGCCACTCCATTTAGCTGCTAAGAACTTCTAGACTATCTGCATTCAGTTGTTTTAAGCACTCGGCAATCGGTGGTCATTGTAAGGACTGAGGAGGGAATAAAAGACTATTTTGAATAAATAAGGAACGAATATTGTTTGGTTACTTGATTAACGCAGTCAGCCCAAAGTCTTTTTTTCTTGAATGAGGAAAGAAGGGAACACCACTTTTTAATATCGCACCTGTTTTTATTTATTTATTTATTTTTAAATACTGAGAAACTCATCGAACAGATTTTTCGACAGGTCCCGTTTGAAGAGCTTGCTAAGAAATGTGAAATTTAATTAAACTCAATCATATTAAATATTAACTTACTGGATGTATTTCATGAAAACATTACACATTCGTTTATCTGGAAGATACAAGGTATTCAAATAAGGTGTTATTCTCTTTAACATTAATCTTAGGCATGGATTTCAAATTACAAAGTTTCTCAAAACAAAGGAGAAAATTTTATGACTACAGTTTTCACGTCAAGGCTGGAAAGATTCCATAACTATTAAATATAATAGTTTATATTACTCCATCGGGGAAAAATTTTAATTAATAAAATGCTCCTTATGCTATAACTATATACAATAATTTTATATTACACTTGAAATTTATGAAACTACGAGATTTATAATGATTAGGCTTGAAGATATTAGATATTAAGAAAGCGATATACGTTCATTGTAAACCATATTTTGAATTTTGAACTTTGCCAGTTAATAACATGTGAAAACGATGCAAAACAAGCAGATACAGGCAAGGATGTTGAAAAATCAAATACAGAATGCCCTTACTCCAAACAGTACAGCTACCTTTTGAAGATTCTTATACTTGATGAATACTCGGATGTATGCTGGAACTTTAAATGGTCTCTTCCCAGCTATTTTCAAGCCTCAGAAGAGATAAATTGACGAACTTAACTGAAAATTGCTGTATCCACCAATTAAGGTGAACGCTTCATTTTTTAAGCCCAATAGCTGAATAATAAGAGCTCAAGAATCCCATCCTACTCATGTGTTTCATTTTCCGCGGAACATTCAATAAATTACGTTTGCTCGGCAATGCATTGCTTACAGTTTAACAATATTTTTCAACTGAATATTTTCAGCTTACGTAACTGCAACGTACGAATATTTTCAGCTTACGTAACTGCAACGTACGAAAGTTATTTCACTAAAACTTACCTTGTTGCATCGGGAGGTACAGCTCCATGAACGTAAATTTTATTTCCACATTCCAAATTATCAGGCAATTTAATATTCAGTGGAAATCTCTGAAATAAAAAATAAAAATTAATCAAGATCTTTTTAATTCAGAAATATTTCAAAATAATGAAGTAACTTCTGATTTTTTTTACAAGAGTTTTTATGTCAATAATGGAAATTTTAAAATATATGATTTTTTTCAAAACGCCTCAGCCTACATGTAAATGAAATTATTTAATGTCACTGCCTCTATTCATAACCAAATAACATGGGCAGCAATAACGTTTACTCGACTTCTTTACGAGCACGGAGTTAAATATAGTAAAGAAGTGCGAATTTCAATGACTTCAAAGCAGAATTTCTTAATCGGCAGTCCTCGAAGCCCTGCTTTGTGATTCTCCTAGCTTTCAAAAAAAAAAAAAAAAAAAAAAAAAAAAAAAAATTACCTCAGCTGAAAATTATAACTGTTTGGATATTACACATGAAAATCGTCTACACCATTTCCCCCCCCCCCAAGACTAATATTTTAAGAAATTTATTACTGATTATCCTACCTACGCACTTCCCGCTCTAGTAACAACAGAAAAGGGATTAAAATATGGTGACTGTGACGCTGTTTACCAATCTACATCAAAACATAGAACAGCTACCTCATTAATGCGAGTATCGACATTTATTGAATTTTTAGTTAATAAAATGATTATCCAAACTAACAGACTTGAATTATTAAAAGCGAGTATAAATTTGCTTCTACTACCTTTTTAAATATTTTATGCAAACAAAAAATTGCTTTTAAAGGGGAGAAGATTGAGGCAGTCCGCAGAACATTCTCAGTTATAAAAGTGGTGACCATTTGAAAAGCTCTTTGTGAAACGCTGATTTAAGGAACTAAGGCTTAAATTTACAAATTTTGTGCCACGAACTACGTAATACGTGAGCAGTAAGTGCATCGTTCTTGTCATTTCTCCCCCTCCCAAAGCAACAAGCAAGGAAGTTCATTCGTTCAATGAGTTACAGTTGACGAGAAGCTTAAGGGGGCCACTGTACCACGCAGTTGCAAATCTGTACATAATTTTTGCTTCTCTCAAAATTTAACGCTGCACATCTTTTGTTTATTAACAGGCGCTGCTGATCAAGGGCCCATACCTTATATAAGCAGTACATGAACTACATGCTATATGCACTTTACATGCTATATGCACTGTATGCTGTAATTTTTTTCAATAAAGCAGATAGGTCTAAGAAAATATAAGACAGAAATCATAAGTGGGAATAATGTACAGTACAGTACCATATTCACCGCTATCATGAATTTAGATTAACTATTTACAATGTGAATCGTTTGTCATTACCTACATCAGTAGTCTTACAATATAAGGACGCAAACATTGCGTATTTTATCCTTGTTACTAACACTAGAAATAACAGAAATGGGAAAATAAAGCGCAATTATAATTTTTATGCCTGACGTAAGAAAATACATTAGTAGCAAAATAGTGTTAGCATGTTTGCTTTATAACACCACGATAAATGCAGTCGATACATTTATTTCGTAGGTTAGACAATATACTAAAAAATCATTATAGTGACCACAATATTATTTTCTGGTGTACAATATTAAATTCATATTCATAGTATTAGGAAAATATAAAAAATTGACATTACATAGCAAACAATTCAACTTATTCACAAAATTGTTTCCTGCTTTTTGGGAAGTAATTCTACTATACCTAGAGCCACTTCGTATGGGAACTGTTTTGTTGCTTGAGATTTGCAGTATACATTTAACAGCGCGAAAATTAATCGAAAAAAGCTTAAGATAACGTTTCACCGTAATGGAAAATTTACTGAAATGACGAATAACCAGCTTCGAATGGTATTTTAAGAAGGTATTCACAATACTCGAACTCATCCCAATAATAGCAAGAAATGGCGACAAATTCTAATAGCACAGTATCGATTACAATAAATTCTGTAAAGATATTATTTTCCTTTATGTCTACTTATACTTTTTTAAGTTCCAGCAACGTCATATGAAGGCTGCAAGTGTTTGCTTGCTTTGTAAGATATCTAAACAGCATTGATCAACATTTTCAGTCAAAGAAATAATAGGAACTTAGACGGTAATTTGGTGAGATTTACGGTGTTACTAAAATGAAGAAAGCCGCCCTTCCTCACAACTTCGGAATTTTCTCATGCTATGTAACAAACAGAGTGTGTGTGTGTGTGTGTGTGTGTGTGATTATGGCAAAGCCTCGAGGGCTATCTGTCTAAGCGGAGGAGTGCCTTCGTGGACGACGTTCTAAGGGAAACTGGCTCGTATACACGTTACACATGGGGAAAACTACGAAAACGCCCATGCAGCCAGCCCATTCGCGGGATTCGAACCTCGGACCGAACTCGAACCTCGGACCGAACTACCAGTGTTCAGCGACTTTACCGCTCGGCCGATGTTGGGCCTCGTAACAGAGAAAATCATTTCTAAAAATTAAAGTTTATGAAATATTAACTGATATATCCCACAGCATAACCAAATTTAAATGATCTTATTCTGATGACCTAAGCATGTATCTCTGCAGATATGATTTACTTTTTGCAGCCTCTAAACGCTAAAATGCTGCACTTTAGTGATTTGAGTGACTATGGGAGCAGAAAATTTTCAGCATTGTATTATGAGTTATTTTTATTATAAAAATTAACATAAGGATCTGAAATGCCTCGCTATCAAGAGACCATACTATATTCGATTCGCTAGTTTACAGTTGTTAAATCCACTGATGGAATCAGATTACAATAGTCGTAAATTAGACGGATGCGACTAGAAAGAATACGATCATTTGTCTTGTAAATTAAAGAAAAAAAATATTACAGCCAAAATGACAAATTTTATCAGGTAGATTTTCCATTTACAAAAAATTTTAATTCTATCTAATCAGGTTTACTTTTAATGTGTGCATTCACAATCGAATAGAAACATATGACAATATTACTTTAAAAAAACTTAAGTAAATACACTATTAATTTTTAATGCAAGTTTAGTAATAAATAAAACAGTAACTATTAACAAAATGTAAGAAAGTTGAAACACTTGTAAGCAATTTTCAAAAATTCGTATTTTCAAATGCGAGCAAAAACCTGATAATTTAAAAATTTTGCTAATTTTGTAAACATTTTGCAATTTACTCAGAAGAACAATTAAAATGTTGGACCATTTATAACAAATATTGTTGCTAGTAATAAGTTGCAAGAATATCAGACTGAAATTATGATGTTTAGAGATTTCTCTTCTCAAAGTATTGAATTTTCGAAGAGATTCACAGAAAATAAATCTCTACAACTTTACTATGGATTTATTAATATTGAGGAATTATCACATAGTGTAATTTCAATATTATTTTTCTCCCAATTGTTAGTAAAAAAATTTAAGATAGTTATTCAAGATACTTTTTGTTGTGCAAATGATTAATACAATTTTAAAACTCCTAAGAGAGGAGTTGCTATAAAAATTATGAAAATATGACTCCAAAGCTAATTTGCTTAAAAAGGCAGACAATAAAAATAAAATTATACACTTGCAAAAACACAAACTTCTCGATATAGTGAGCATACATGTTTCCAATAGTAAGAAAGAAAATTTTTTTCTCGCTAGAAAATGAAGCTTACAAAGCATTGGCTAAAAATAATTCATATATTCAGTGACCTTTTTTGCTATGCGAAGAACTAACACACTCTGGAATCTCCTTTACATCATTTAACTGGAAATGAGCGGTAACGACAGGAAGCGAATTTTTAACTTTCTTGCCACGAACTGACCTTTGCCCCTCCACGTTTAGGGAAGAAAGCGTTGATCACAAGACAAACCACGAGCATCCGAAACGGCCTTGACAAGCACAATCTTTTTAAATTACGCTTTTTTTTTTTTTTTTCCCTTTCTTTCTTTTCATTCATTAAACATTTATTTTAACATTCTATCACGATAAAAAAAAAAAAAAAAAAAAAAACTGAAATGTTTCAGATTTTAAATTACGTCCAAAGGGGCGTTTTTTAACATTTTGTGTGTTACCTTTCTTTATTAAATATCATGTTCCTCGCACTTAAACCATAAATTCCAGTTGCAACAGCAATATCGCAAAATAGTTTTAAAACGAGCATATCTTTAGAATTTCCGATACAGAGACTCACGCGCTGGAGATAAAAATGTTTTTTCTGCAAACGTTGCCATTGCTCGCTTTGAAATCCTTGAGTTTGTTAATCAAAAAATTCGTCAAAGTTTTAAAAAATAGGAAATCGATCATAAAACAAATTTCAAATTTCAAATTTGGTCTTCCACATGCTCATATTCGTTGGAGGATTACGTTATTCAAAATTCGATGGACTCTATGTACCGTTGTTTTTATCACAATACGAGAAATATACATACATTTATGCGGATTTTTCATTATTTAATTTCTTCAAATATAATGCAGGACTCTAACATTTTGTGGCAACAGTTTGAAAAGTGAACCGACATTTATGAGTCCGAGGCAAAATGCCAAAACGAAACTAATAGTCCTTCGGGATTCAAATCCCTTTGGACTATAAAAAAAAAAAAAAAAAAATCGAAAATTCTCAAGAGTAATATTTTAACTTCAAATATGCCTACGGCATTATACAGCGGAAAGAGATAGCCGATAGATTTTTAATTATACAGAAATAAATATGGTTGCGAAATAACAGGATTCTCGATAGAACAGAATGACGTGGATTCTATTTTATACACTGTGAACGAAGGATTTGATTCCCATCTTCCTTTAGTTGTTGCAAATCAAACGTATATTTTGATTATCGTGTGTTTCAGTTTGATTGCGATTACTGGACCAAAGTACCATACTGGTATTCGGTATTTTTTTAATCAATGCACCAGAATTAGCATTTTTTTAAAAGTACAAAAACACAATTGTTTCTTCGCCATATTTATCAGTTTCACACACACACACACACACAAAAAAAAAAAAAAAAAAAATGCATGAACTATAAAAATATACACAATTTTATTATGTAAAAATATAAAATCACTACGCACAATTTC